TCACGTTTACCCACAGCCAAGTCTTGATTTAATAACAGGTACTGCAGATCTCTGGGTGGGCCTGAGCCTCTGTTTTAGAAGCAGCCGCACCATCCGAGGGGCAGGTCCGTGTGGGCTGGCAGGCGGCCTGGTCCTTGGAGCACAGGGTGGACCTGACCCAGTCCTCGCAGTGCGGGGCCTTGCAGTTCTAGAATGTAGTGATGCAACCTGTGGCATAAATAAAAAGCCTCATGTGCCCCCATGAGAAGCTGGGGCTTCCCCTCAGTACTGGGGTGTGCTGTGTTTGTGATCGTGCAGATGTAAAAGTGTGAGGGAGATGTCTAAAAACCAGGCTCCCAAAGACAGTCCTTCATGTCTGGTGCTTTCATGTGTGTATGCACACCTGTTTGACGCGTGTACACCTTCACTCGTGCCCGTTTCATGCGTGTACACCTGTTCATGTGTGCATGCACCTGTTTCGCGTGTGTATGTGCCTGGGCATTCACCCTGCATTGCGTCATATGTTGTATTTTACAGATTTTTTTTTTTTTTCAGTTTGTATCGTGAGCTTGTAACGACTTTGTGAAGAAAAGAGGGGGCCCTGGCAGCCTTTGACTTTGAGAAACGTGATGTCACGGGACCAGATGAGACAGCCCGGGTGAGGCCGGCAGAGGCCATCGTGGCCTGGGAGTCCGTGCACATCCACTGTCTGTCGCTGTGTGACAAGTGACCCCAAAACCTAGGGGGTAAGGCAACGTACACGTACGATTGTACAGCTTCTTCAGGTTGCAAATTCAGGGCAGCCCTGCTGAGCGACTCTGGCCCAGTCCCCCGCGTCACCGTGAAGATGCTGTCCAGGGCTGCGGCCATCTGTAGGCTCAGCTGGGCTGGAGGTTCTGCTCCAGGATGCTGTGCTGACGTGTCTGCGGGCAGAGGCCTGCTCCTCCACACCTGGCCCCTCCCTGGGGCTGCCAAGTGCATTCCTGCCCAGGGCCGCTCCTTTCCCCAGAGACGTAGCAGTGCTGGTCTTATGCCCAGTGTCAAGGTGGCCGGGTCAGGAGCAAAGACTTGTTTCCCCTACTCAGAGTCTACTCCTGCAGGGTTGGGCGACAGTGGAGGTCGCGCAGGAAGGTGTTCGCTGAAGACCGTGCTCTGTGACTTGACGGGTGTTCCTCCCAGGAGGGTGAAATGGAGACTGGACACTGGGAGCGGCGTCCTGCGCGACCCCGCATGTAGTGGGCTCACAGCAGAGCTACGTCCTTCCTTTACAGATACTTTTCAGAGTCTGCCCGCCTTTAGATTCTCTGATTAACATGTCTGAGGAGGGTCCCAGGAGTCTGCCACCTGCCAGGCCAAGGACGTTCCCTGCATGTGACTGGTCCCTTGACACCCTGAGAAATGTGACTTGAGAGGATCACCCGAGTTTCCTAAATGAGTCACCTGCCTTCTCTTCCCTTTGCTTTCATGCCTCCCCCGGGCTGGGTCAGTCCTGTCAGCTGCAGCGATAACTGTATGCTGGGGTTACAAGGAGATTGGGGGTGTGTCTGGTCCCCCAGGGAGATTCAGTGACTGAGGATGCTGTCATGGCAGCCAAAATGTCCTTATTGCTTTCACTTTTAGTGAAGTTCAGTGACTACGTTTTCTGAGGAACAACGATGTCCTTGTGAACAATTGGTGATCAAGGAAGCAAACAAGTGTGGGAAAATGATCCTGCCTTGAAACCTGAAAAACGGCAAAACAGTAAAGAGCCCTGAAGAGCCCATGAACCTCCTCATGGGGCAGTGAGGAGACACCACAGTAATGGCTTAAAAAAAAAATGAGATGATACTGAAGAAAAGGTAA